CCCCAAAACCCCAAAACCCCAAAACCCCTTAAAGCTATTAATCGATAATATATGTATAAAATTATCTGAAATATAATACTTATTCAAGGTGTCGATATAATAGCTAGCCGAATTAATGACTATTTTTAATAAAATTTAATTAATGAGGAAAAAGTAGTAATCTATCTAAATAAGTCTTGAGAATGATTTTTCAAATCCCTTCAATTCAATTATATCAGATAACAAGAGAATTATGCAAGGGAACTTTGAGATAGAGGAAGGAAGGTAAAGAGGGTTTAATGAATCTGATATTGATCTGAGCAATCTAAAACGATCTTATGAAGATCAGCCATCTATTGCTCATCATGTACAGATTTTTAATGATGATTAGCAAGAAATGGAAGTGCTTAATATGAGAGAGTACTATTTAGATACTGAAATTGGCAATAATCTGAGAGAGTCTAGGTAGAGAACTCTTTCATATCAATCTAAGTCTAATGTCTCAGTAGACTTACATCATTTTAGCAGTCACATGATCGTTTAGAGAGGAAATAGGACTGAGAAAAGGAATAATAGAATGAACAAAAGACTTTCACATTCTAAGAATTCCTCTTAGTTCAAAAGAGAATAATAGTTGAAGTTGCAAGAGCTTAAATCAAAAGAAAATCAGCTTAAGAATAGTTTCATAGATAATTTGAAATTTCATCTGGAATAGTTCATTCAAGAGAAAATTGAGAATAGTTTAAAAAGGAAAAAGTTTATGAAATCAGACTAGCCATCTCCTAGATAGTAGTCCTAGGACTAGTCAGATATATAGACAAATAAATAGGTACAGGAGTAAATTAGATAAGTTAGAAAAATGTAAAAAATCAATGGAATGTCTCCCTGCTCTTCTAGAAAATCATCAACTAGCTAGAGGAAAAAATAATGTCAATCTGAGCGATAATAGGATAAAGTTAGTTACCAATTTGAGCAAGATGATGAGAATTTGGTATTAGAGATTAAAATGAAAGTAGGTCAGGCTTAGAAGAAGACTCAGTTTATGTGTGAATTGCTGAATCTAATAGATAAGTACGAAATTAATCAAAACAATCAGTAAAATAAATAGGAAAGTTCTAAATATGATACTCCTCAGGTTAAAGGACATCCATTTAAAAGAGCAAATAAAAATCCTATAAATCTGATGTCTCCTCCTAATATTGGTAGCCCCAGTAGACTATTAGACGATGAAATGCCATAATAGTCTATAAAGTAAAACCGATTGAGCTTCAATAATGCTTTCATTAATTAATGCATATCAAATTAGTCTTCATCAAGAGAGAGAATAATGTCTGATCTTATAAATTCCCCACCTAAACCATATATTGAGGATAAACAAGCATTTTTCAGCTAAGATGGATCTTAGAAGTATTTATAGAAATCGGTGAAGTTTGATTAAGAATACGATACACCTTCTCCACCATATAAACCTAGATTATAGATTGAAAAATAAACAGAGTAGATTTACTTACAGACACAGAATGATATAATGTCCCCAAGAGCATTGAATGAACCTTTGCCTTAGTTCCTAAAATGCTAAGGTGATAGGAAATTAGTTATTCAGTATAGAACGGTTTAGAGGTAATTCAACAGTAGTAAATCTTTAATATCAAATCCAATGATTAATGTAAATAAATCTAAGAATATTATAATAATTGGCTATAGAACTTCAAAAACTTGAAAAGGCCCCTATAAGAGGAGCAGCTGATCTCATAAGCATTTGGTTATTTTCTATCTATTTACGATTAGGAAATGCTGTATCAGATAGAAAAATCCTATCCTGCAAAAATGTGGAATACTTTACAAAGCTAAATCTACAATAAGTATGATGCAGATGATCTTCAACTCATATTCATATAAATCAAGCAGATCATAGATAGCAATAACTTCAATAAAAGTAAGATAGACACTGTTGAGTATCATTTTTATTTCTAGAACTTTTACCCACGATAAAGAATTTGATTAAACTAAATCTTAATATCTTGAATAAACATGGTTAAACTTTGTACAACTTTCTTCAGGCTTCTGTTAACTATATGAATGTAAGATAACCAATATTAATCATCATACTTTTCTAGTTTGTGTAATAAAACTTCAAAGCTGAATTAATTCAAAACATCAATAATGGTGACTAATTATAGCAATAAAAGACTGATGATGAGCAGCCGATAGTGTCCCCCAGAATTAATAGAATGGAAGTCGGTGCTGTCTGGGGACAGAGTCGAAAGAACAGCATGCACAGTTCTTAGCAATCAAAACGCAGCAATGACTCAAAATTTAATCATAATAACCTTCACAAACCCGCTGAATGGAATATATGCACTCATCCAAACCAAATTCACATTAGAAATGAAAACTCCCAGCAGAGAAATCAAACTTAGAAATTTTCACTTGCCAAATGTAAAAGAGTAGAGTTGTAATTATGAGAAAACCGGTATAACACAAACCTAAGAATTTGATTATTATTATATTTTTCGATAAACTTGATTTAATAATTACCAAATTTTATCCTAATTTTTCTTTCAGGGGTTTTGGGGTTTTGGGG